CACTCTGTTGCCCAGGCTGGAGTGCAGTGGCACATTCATGGCCACCAGAGCCTTGACCTGCTAGACTCAGGCGATCCTTCTGCCTCAGCCTTCCAAGTGACTGGAACTACAGGCATGCATCACCACACCCGGCTACGTTTTTGATTTATTGTAGAGACAAGGTCTCACCACGTTACTCAGGGGGGTCTCAAATCCCCGGACTCAAGCAATCCTCTTGCCTGGGCCTCCCAAAGTGCTGGGATTACAGGCTTGAGTCATTGCACTTGGCCTTATTTACCTATTTTTGAGACAGAGTTTCACTCTGTTGCCCAGGCTGGAGTGCAGTGGCATGATTCCGACTCACTGCAGCCTCGACCTCCCAGACTCAAATGGTCTTCCTGCCTCAGTTTCCTGAGTAGTTGGGACCACAGGCACATGCCACCATGCCTGGCTAATTTATTTTCACTTTTTGGTAGACGAGGTCTCACTATGTTGCCCAGATTGGTTTTGAACTACTGGGTTCACGTGATTCTTCTGCCTCGACCTCCAGCCTGGGCGACAGAATGAGACTCTGACTCTAAAACTAAAACAAAAACACCCACCTTTTTAATTTATGTTATTTATTTATTTTTTTGAGTTGGAGTCTCACTCGGTTGCCCAGACTGGAGTGCAGTGGCCACTCCCGGCCACCGCAGCCTCGCTGCTGGGCTCTGGCGATCCTCCCGCCTCAGCCTTCCAAGTAGCCAGAATTATAGGTATGTGTTACCACACCCGGCTGATTTTTTGATTTATTGGAGAGATGAGATCTCACTGCCCAGGCGGGTTTCGAACCCGCGGGCTCAGGCAATCCACTCACCTCAGCCTCCCAAAGGCGCGGGATTACAGGCTGAGCCACCGAGCCCGGCTTACCTTTTTTATTTTTGGATAATTCAGACTTACACAAGAGAGGCAAAGAAAAGAGTTTCCACAAACTCCTCACCCAGCTTCCTCAATGTTATTATCATCTTACATAACTATGGTACATTTATTAAAAAAAAATTTTTTTGAGTCAGTCTCACTCTGTCGCTAGGTTGGAGTGCAGTGGCGTGCTCACAGCCATCGCAGCCTCAACCTGCTGGGCTCATGGGCCTCTTCCTCCACCCTTATCTCATTCTGTGCAGAGTGAAGGAGCTTGGGTGCTTTTTTTTTTTTTTTTTTGAGTCAGAGTCTCACTGTCACCCAGGCTAGAGTGCAGTGGAATGCTCATGGCCACCACGGCCTTGACCTGCTGGCTCAGGCAATCCTTCTGCTTCAGCCTTCCAAGTAGCTTGGAACCACAGGTGTGTGCCACCACGCCTGGCTAATTTTTCTTGATTTATTGTAGAGATGAGGTCTCCCCAAGTTGTCCAGGCTGGTCTCAAATCCCTGGGTTCAGGTAATCCTCTCATCTCTGCCACTCAAAGTGCTGGGAGGTGCCTGGCTCGGGATAATTTTTTAAAACTTTTTGCAGAGATGAGGGCTCAATGCGTTGCCCAGACTGGTCTTGAACTTCTAGGCTGAAGCAATCCTCCCACGTCAACCTCCCAAAGTTCTGGAATTACAGGCGGTGAACCACTGCGCCTAGTCCAAAAATGTTAATACAAATACTATCCTAGCTCACATCCTATTCTGCAGCGTCTTTTTCTACATCAATAGTCCCTGAGATCTATTTTAGGATGCTGAGAGCTACTTCACGCTTTTAAACTTTGACCTTATTCCAAATAAATACAGTGGTTCTATGTTCCTCTTTGCACGTGTTAGTTGTTCTCATGGGTAGAATTGGGGAAGCATGGCTAGACGCAGTGTAGGCATATTTGCATGTGTTTTGTTTTGTGTTTTGGAGTTGGAGTCTCACTCCGTGGCCCACGCTGGAGTGCAGCTCTCCGCCACCCCAGCGTCGACCTGCTGGACTCCGGCGATCCTTCTGTCTCAACCTTCCAAGTGGTCGGAACCACAGGTACGCGCCACCACGCCCGGCTCATTTTTTAATTTATTGTAGAGAGGAGGGCTCACCAAGTTGCCCGGGCTGGTCTCGAACCCGCGGCCTCGGACAATCCACTCGCCTGGGACGACAGGTTGAGCCACCAAGCCCGGCCATATTTGCATATTTGCATATTTGCATATTTGTCAGTGGATACTGGTAAGTATGCAACGGAAGTGGCTGAACCCGTCTACCTCGCAGCCGTGGTTCAAGCCCCCGTTATCCTCCGGTCCTGCGCGCTCCGGGTCCCGCCCAGGACTACATCTCCCAGAAGACTCCGCGGCACCCCTCCCACCTGGTCCGAGAACGACCAATCCCCGCGAGCCTGGGGAAGGCGGCGCTGCCTCCGCTCCTCTTTCCCTTCCGCGGCCTACCACTCCCAGAAGCCACCGCGGGCCTGCCGGGCCCGGCGCCATGTCCAGCCCGGACGGGGGCGGGCCCCGACTCCACTTCCCGGCGGGCAGCGCGGCGCGAGGGGCGGGACTTCATTTCCCAGCAGGCTCCGGGCGGCGGGCGCCGCCGTGCCTTGTGTGGGATGTAAGCGTGGAGGTGGGCGCGGGGGACCGCGGCCAGGACGCTCCTCGGGGTCTGGGGGACTGGCCCGCGGGCGCCTCCCAGACGGACTCTGG